ACGTGCACACAAACAGGCCCGGGAGGGAGATGTGCACAGTGAGAAAAGCCCAGGAGAGGGGCGCACACCCTCAAACAGACCCAGGAGGGGGTGCGCACACACAAACAGGCTTGGGAGGGAGGCACGCGCACAAACAGGCCTGGGAGGGTGGCGCAACCACACCCAAACAGACCCGGGAGGGAGGCGCACACCCTCAAACAGACCTGGGAGGGAGGCGCATGCACCCAAACAGGCCCGGGAGAGGGGTGCAAACAGTCAAACAGGCCCAGGAGGGGGGTGTGCGCAGCCAAACAGTCCCAGGAAGGGGGCTCACACACACCCAAACAGGCCCAGGAGTGGGGCACATGCACTCAAACAGGCTTGGGAGGAGGGCACATGCACACAAACAGGCCCAAGAGGGAGGTGCGTGCACCCAAACAGGCCCAGGAGGGGGGCACATGCACACCCAAACAGGACCGGTGGGGGGGGCGCGTGCACCCCCAAACATGCCCGGGAGTGGGGGGCGCACGCACCCAAACAGGCACCTCTCACTCTGCAGCACAAGAGGAGGCAAAGGCACCAGCTTCTCCTCTTTGCGGCGAGGAGACCACAGCAGCACAGCACAGTGCCAGGCACCTGCCCCGCACAGCCCCACAACCTACGCCGTGGCTCTGCAGGACACAGCCCAGTGTATCGTGAGTGAGGTCCTGCGCAAGGCTGCTGCTGTGATCCAGGGACCTGGCCAGCAGCCGGGAGGACAGTGGGACCTGGCACAAAGCATGGACGTGGCAATGGCAGCAAGAACACCTGCAGCACCTCAGGACACCAGGTCTCCCTTGGCTGGAGAGCCTCAGGGAGAGGCCAGCACAGCCCCTTGGCACCAGGTGAGCCAAGCGCACATGGCCAGCACCGGGCATCCCGAGGCACTGGAGGCAGGCGCAGCGCTCAGGGTGTGTGCAGCAGGGAGATGCCTGGTGCTCTTCGTGTCATCCCACTGACATCCCCTCCATCCCCTGCCTGTGCTCTTGCTCTCCCCATACAGGTGGCCTCCAAGCACAGAAGCGACACAGAACCCTCCTCCAGCTGCAGGGACGTGCCCGAGGATGACCCAGGTACATCCCTGAGTCGAGTGCTGGCCCAGCGAGGGCAAGCCTGGCCCAGCCATCCTGGCGAGCGGCACCTAGGCAGCCAGCAGCACTATGCACATGGGAGCTGGCTGTGCCCCAGCCACCCATCCTTGGGGAAAGCCCTCGGTGGCAGGGGGCAGGCGGGAGCTTGCCCGTCGCCCACCCAGCCCCTTGCCTATAGCTCTCTTTCTCTGACAGGCATCAACACCCTCCCACATGCCCTGGCTCGACGGCCCTCCCTCTCCAGGAGGGTGCACAGGGCTTTCCACTGTACCTGCATCACAGGACAGCAAAAGCAGCACTGCCCCGCTGGCAGGTCCCCGGAGATGGCAGCTGGCCCTGAGCCTGCACAGTGTCTAAATGAAGCAGCACAGGGAGGCACGTGTGGGATGGGTGCATGAACAGCGCCCCAGCCATTCAGCTGCCCTGAGGACATCGTGCTGCCAGCCCCCACTCAGCCGTGGACGTTTTCTGAGACCAATAAAAGATGACAATTTTCCCCCAGTGCTCATCTGTGCCTGGTCCATCTCAGGAGAAAGACGGATGCAGGCCAGGCCCATGCCAGTCAGCAGATCTGGAAGGCCCCTGGGTTCCCTCTTCTACACGCCTCTGCCCATGCCTCCAGCACTCCAGCTCCTGACCAGCTGGGGTCTCTGCTGGCCTCCCTCCACAGTGCCCATGTCTGCCTGGACCCAGGCAGCCCCAGCCCGCACCTAGTGCCCAGGCATGGCCTCCCCTGGACCCAGCAGAAGCCCTTCCCCGCAGTGCCACCCGCACCCTTGCTAGCACAGTCCAGGCTGTGGGACTGCCCTTGCTGCCCAGGCACGCTGCCCAGGCACACTGCCCACCTTGGCCTCCAGGGCCTTTCCTGCAGCCGCTGCAGCTCTCCAGCCACCTGGCCCCAACCCCACCTCCTGTGGGGCATTCCAGGCCAGTGCTTGGTGCTTGCCTCTGCTCAGTCCCACAGCCAGTGGTGATCCCAGAGGGCCTCAAGCCTGTCTGGCACCATCTGCCCCGGGCAGAGCCCAGCTGACTCTTCCCCAGCCCCTGCTCCTCCAGCATGTCCCTGGGAACAATGTCTAGGAGCATTTGTGCCAACACCTTCCCGGGAACGGAGCAGCCTGGAGGTTCTCCCACCGCTCCTCCTTGCCTTTCTGGAAGATGGCTCTGACAGTTGCTCAGATCACCAGGAATCTCCCCAGATCAGCAGGCCCTTCCGGAGAGCAGAGCATGGCTTCGCGCTGGCCCAGCCTGGCTCCCCCCAGCCCTGGGATGCTCCCCAGCCAGTCACACAGCCATTTGGTAAACGGTTTAATTAATATACTGAAAGGACCACTGCCGGCCCAAGCTGGAGTTCAGCCGCTGCTCTGCTTGGCTGCCAGTCTCTTGTCTCTCTCTTCAGCGATGGTCAGGCGGATGCCCTTTCCACGGGGCAGGGAGATCCACGGCTTGTTGCCCTGCAGCAAGGGAGAAGCAGCCACCTCACATCACGAAACCTGGACAGGGGCAGAGCTCTCCCTCTCGGGGGAAAAGCAGCAAAAGCCAGCCCCTGCCCATGCTGGGGCACGTACACATGGCTGTGCCATTGGCCCAGCAGAAGCCCCTTAGGAAGGTGCCAAAGGTGTACAGGCCTACATCTGCCTCTTTCAGTCATGTCTGTGAAGAATGCACTTCAGCCAAAATTGAACCACCACCCCTTTCCACCCTGGACAAAAGAGCCCATCAGGGATGGCGAGACAGCAGAGGCATTGCAGGGGGAGGGCACTCTCTGTCACAGCAGCTGCGCGGGTCACATCAAGAACTGAGCACAGAGCCCTGCTCAGCCCCCAACTCTCAGAAGGTTTAAAAAACCACAGGGATGCTTCTTGAAAATGTTCCCATTCCTAAATTTATGGATGCTTCCCCTTCCTAGAGCGGTCAGCCTGGAGCAGGCAGAACCACAGGGAGCGGAGCCAGAACTGATGCCAGCACTGGAGCTTCACTGTGTGGGAAGGCAGCTGCCTACAGAAGACACCAATGCCTCTTTGCTTCAGCCAGCAGCCCGCAACCACAGGAGAGAACCCACCCGCCTTGTGTCTGCGCAGGCTTACTTTGCCAATAACGAAGATGTTGGAGAGCCTGGTGGCAAAGCTATTGCCATTGGCGTCCTTCACGTGAACCACGTCAAATGACCCAGGGTGTCTCTCCCGGTTGGTGATCACCCCAATACGGCCCAAGTTGGCACCACCGGTCACCATGCACAGGTTACCTGGGGTGAAGGAAGAGAGGTGTGACAAGAGCTGGCACAAGGTGCTGTGGTGAAGCCCTTCTGCTTGGACTCTTTGAGGAGCACCACTGGAGAAGGGCAGAGGCAGAGCCACACTGGCCCAGAGAGCGGCCACTGGTGCACCTGGTGACACCTATGTCCCACAGGAACCCTGGCACACCCTGAGGAGCCAAACAGCTCTCTGGCCCCAGGGCCCGTACCAAACATTCCCCACCACCTGCTCAATTGTGTCAGCACCAAGGAGGCATTCCCGTACCACTTGTCCTGGCACTGCTCATGGCTCTGCAACCGAAACCTTTTCCCACAACAAAGAGCCAGCAATCTCCCCACAGCTGCCCAGAGCTTTCCACTCACAGCCCTGCGAGAGCCAGGCTCAACCAACCTCTCCACCAGCTCACTGCTTCTACCTGGTGCCTGCTTGCTCTCGGAATTGCTCCAAGTCCCTACGCCAAATGCCTTCCACTTGCCAGCACATGGGAGGAATCCCTCCTCCAGCTCCAGGTGGAGATGCCCCAGGGAACAACCCCTTTCCCAAGGCTGCCACCACTGCCTCTCTACTTTAGAGCAAAGATGCCTGGCATTTGTATTTAGCTTCCACACTGCTCTCCACGGTGGGGAAGAGTAATGTTTTACATGGGATGCAAGACCTACCTGTGTCAAACTTGATGAAATCTGTGATCTTGCCTGTCTCCAGGTCAATCTGGACCGTATCATTCACCTTGATGAGGGGGTCCGGATAGCGGATGGTGCGGGCATCATGGGTGACCAGGTGAGGGATTCCTTTGGTGCCCACAAAGATCTTCCTCACCTTGCACAGCTTGTACTGCAAACAAAATGCAACACTGCTCAGCTGAGGCAGCGAACAGCACCATGGACCAGGGGACCCTTGTCGCCCAGAGAGCCGCCAGCCACAGCAAGCCTCAGACCCCAAGCAAAACACCCAGATGCTCCAGGGCGTGCAACAGGAGCCCAGGCAGTGACTTGCCCAGCTCACTGCCCCAACAATGCCTCTTGTAGGGCTGCCACACAGCTGTGCTACAGCCCCACTGGAAAACACCTGCGCTTCAGGAACAGCTGCCCACCCCAGGCTTCGGCCTCCCCGCAAACACTGGCTGCATTTTCCCAGGAAAGCCTATGCCAGGGCGGTTTCCTCATTTTGCCCTGAAGCCTGTGGACACACAGCAGAGGCAGTGGCTGCCTTTCTTCAGGACCCAAAAGAAATCTGTACCCCTCCTCCGGGGCACCCTGTTTTCTCTCCTGCCTTTTGCCCCCGACTCCTTCACAGCCACTTTGGGACTCACAGGTCAACACAGAGCGGTAGCCAGAGCTAAAAGCGTATCACAGGCGGGGCGGAGAGGCCCCGAAAGCACACCACAGCCGGCTACAGCACAGCCAGCTCTTCTCTCAGCATCACTGCATGCCTGCACAGCCTGCCCTTAGGAAGGACATGCAAAGGAGAGCACAGACTCGCAGCTCAGGCATGCCAACATGCTTGGGTTAAGGAAACATGTGTGGGAGTCGCTTCCGCAGTTTGTAAACACTTCCATAACAGACTCAGGAAGGAGTTCAAGGCTTTTGCGCCACAGGCAGTACCATGTTTCTGGTCTCTTAGCTTGTGGAGCCCTACGCTGAGGCTCATCACACCACAGCAGAGCCATCCCCACCCCAAAGCTCCCTGTGAAGATAACCCAGCCCATGCCAACAGTGGTCATTTCAAACACCAGTCAATGCACCTGTAGTCATCTGTGAGTTGCTCTCATGTCACCAGATTTCCCCCTGCCAAAGGCTTCGTACCCCAACCCTGAAGGCCCCGATCTTCTCAAAGGTGTCATGGACTCAGCTCTCAGGGAAGAGAGCCAACAGCTCCCGTTCAGGAGATGCCAAAGAGGAAACACAGCCCCAACCAAACCCAACTGGGCCCACGCTTATGCCAAGCTCAAGCTTCTCACCTTGGCCTCTTCAGCTGTGATGCGGTGAACAGCAAACCGGCCCTTGGTATCGTACACCAAGCGGAAATGCTCACCTGTCTTCTCGATGCTGATGACATCTGATTTCAGAGAGGGAAATAAAATAGCAGCTGTTATCAGCTATGTTACCCAACGCTGTAACTCAGCACAAAGCTCAAGTTTAAAAAGAACTACGGACTGCTGCACAACGCTTCAGGTGTGAATGATGAGGTTGGTATCGCCTCTTGACCACAGGCTCACATCTTTTACTGTGATACAGTGCAAATTAGTAAAAACTGCCAAAGGCATATGCAATCAGGCAGTTATAGGCTACAGATATCTAGCTTTGGTATTCATTGCAGTGCACAACTCCAAACTAAATAACAACTGCTTATACTTATCTTTTCTTCAACTCTACCAGGAAAGCATCTTTCCCCCAAAATCGTGCCAGCCTCACAAGACATCCCACGCCAGTGCAGCAGAGCTGCGTGAGGTACCTGCCCCAGCCCTCCCCACTCACCCATGAAGCCTGCAGGGTAGGTGATATCTGTGCGGACTTTGCCATCTATCTTGATAAACCTCTGCATGCAGATCTTCTTGACCTCGTCTCCTGTCAGAGCATACTTCAGCCTGTTCCGCAGGAAGATGATGAGCGGAAGGCACTCCCTCAGCTTATGAGGGCCTGTCGACGGACGGGGTGCCTGCAAACAGAAGCTTTCTGCTGGGTGCTCAAGCACAACAGCAGCATCAACTATCCTCAGAGGAACAATGCTACTGCCCCAACAGCTCTCACAGCAGCACCCAAGGACAGTTGCATAGAGCCTAACTGCTAAGCAGGCAGTGATAGGCTGCAGATATCTTTTCTTGGTATTCACAGTGCCTTCCCCCCTCACGTCTTGCCAGCCTCACGAAACACTGCCCTCAACCCAGTACAACTATCTACTGTCTCACTCCAATGAAGGAAAAACACAACAAGCAGCAGATTGAAAGAGAGCAGCCAACTGCCCCACTGCCACATCCCTTGCAAATGGAGAAAACACGAAAGTTGTCTGCAAAACCCCTAACCGCAAGCACCCCCCTTCTCCCCTGTACTGCCCCAGCTCACCGCCACCCCCCGAGCACCCCCTCGGTGAGACTGCGAAGCCGCCTGG